ACCTTTTTTTTTTTTTAAGTGGGTGGCTCAGTTGATTAAGCATCTGACTCTTAATCTCAGTTCATGATCTCAGGGTCATGAGCTCAAGTCCTGCACTGAGGGAGAGCCTACTTTAAATCAATCGATACAGTATGTTTAAATTAAGTTTTTAAATATAATTATAGATTCTCATGCAGTTGTAGAAAGTAGTACAGAGAGATCCCATGTACCCTTTAGCTAATTTCCCCCAGTGATAACCAGGGTATTGACTGATACAGCCAAAACACAGAACAATTCCATTATCACAATGATCTTCCCTGTTGCTCTATTATAGCCATCACAGTGCTTTCTATTTCTATGATTTTTTTTGTTTTTTCAAGAATGCTATATGAGTGAAATTGTAAAGTATGTAACCTTTTGGTATTGACTTTTTTGCTTCTCAACATAACTCTCTGGAGATTCATCTATGCTGCTCTGTGTATCTATAATTTGTTCCTTATGCTGAACAGTATTCGGTGGCTTGAGTAAACCACAGTTTGTTTAATCATTTGGGGTGAAGGCCTGTTGACCCTGTTTAAGGCCATTTGGGTTATTTCCAGTTTGGGGCTATTACAAATAAAGCTGCCATAAACATTCCTTGATGGGTTTTTATGTAAATCATTTCTCTGGGATAAATGTCCAGGAGTGCAATTGCGGGTCATATGATAGTTGCATGTTTAGTTTTTGCTTTAAAAAAAAGATTTTATTTATTTATTTGAGAGAGAGAGAGAGCACAAGGGGGGAAGAAGGGCAAAGGGAGAGGGAGAAGTGGATTCCCCACTGAGCAGGGAGCCATACACAGTGCTCACCCCAAGACCCCAGGATCACAACCCGAGTCAAAGGCAGATGCTTAACCAACTGAGCCACCTGGGGACCCTTGCATGTTTAGTTTAGTTTTTTTTTAAGTATTTATTTATGTATTCATGAGAGACACACACAGAGAGAGGCACACAAGCAGAGGGAGAAGCAGGCTCCCTGCAGGGAGCCTGATGTAGGACTCAATCCTGGGACCCCACGATCACACTCTGGGTCAAAAGCAGATGCTCAACCACTGAGCTACCCAGCCATCTGGCATGTTTAGTTTTTTAAGAAATTGCCCAACTGTTTTCCAGAGTAGCTGTACCATTTTGCCTTCCCACTTGCAATGTATGAAGTGATTCAATGTCTTCATATCCTTCGTTGCTGGTTTTCATTTCAGCTATTCTGAAAGATGTGTAGTGGTATCACATTGTGGTTTTATTTATTTATATTTATTTTTAAGATTTTATTTATTTATTTGACAGAGAGAGCAAAAAGCCACAAGCAGAGGGAGCAGCAGAAGGAGAGGGAGAAGCAGGCTCCCAGCTTAGCCTGGGATCAAGCCCCCCCCCCCAATGTGGACCCTGGGATCAGGACCTGAGGTGAAGGCAGACACTTAACCAACTGAGCCACCCAGGCACCCCCTCATTCTGTTTTTGTTTTTGTTTTTAGATTTTATTTATTCATGAGAGACACACACACACAGAGGCAGAGACATAGGCAGAGGGATAAGCAGGCTCCCTGCAGGAAGCCCGATGCGGAACTTGATCCCAGTACCTGAGCCAGATGCTCAACCACTGAGCCACCCAGGCATCCCAGCAAACCAAAACTTAATTGCAGAAATGTGATCTTTATTTATTTTTAAGAGACTATTATTTTTTAATATTTTATTTTTTAATATTTTATTTATTTATTTGACAGGGAGAGAGCACAAGCAGGGGGAGCAGCAGAGGGAGAGGGAGAAGCAGACTCCCCTCTGAGCAGGGAGGCCTGATATGAGTCTTGATCCCAGAAGTCTGAGCCAAAGGCAGACCTAGGCACCCCTAAGATTTTTATTTTAAATTTTTTTTTATTTATTTATGATAGTCATACAGAGAGAGAGGGGTAGAGACACAGGCAGAAGGAGAAGCAGGCTCCATGCACCAGGAGCCTGACGTGGGATTCGATCCCGGGTCTCCAGGGTCGCGCCCTGGGCCAAAGGCAGGCGCCAAACCACTGCACCACCCAGGGATCCCCAAGATTTTTATTTTAAAGTAATCTCTACATACATGGGTCTTAAACCTACAACCCTGAGATCTAGAGTCACATGCTCTACTGACTGATCTAGCCAGGTGCCCCAGTGATTCTAGAGCCTGCTAATCAGCACTTGTTAGGTTATCTGCCTGATAAAGCCCACCTCCCACCCTCCCCTGCAAGAAAGAGGATCTTTCCTGAAACAATTCTTTTCTTTTCTTTTTTGTTTTATTTTATTTTATTTCTCATTTCTTTTCTTTTGTTAATGACTTCCTTGTTGAGAGGTTTCTGCCTATAAAAAGCCTTCAATTTTGTAGAGCTCCTTGGATCCCCTTTCTTTCTATCTGCTGGATGATGTGCGGCCAAATTCATGAATCATTGAATACAGTGAATAAGATCTTTAAAATGTACTAAGTTGAGAGGCACCTGGCTGGCTCAGTTGGAGGAGTGTGCAATTCTTGATCTCAGGGTCATGAGTTCAAGCTCTTTGTGGGGTGTGGAAATGACTTAAATAAAACTTTAAAAAATTTTACTCAGTGTATTTTATTTGTTCAACACACCTATCAAAATATACAACATTACTGTTATTTCAGGAAATTACTTTATGTCCCGTACCCCTGTCAATGTCTGCCCTTTATCCTTGAGGGGTAACCATAGTTTCTAATTGATTTTTACACCATTATTTTGTTTGTTTTTAAGTAGGCCTCACACCCAGTGGGGAGCCCACCATGGGGCTTGAATTCAGACTTTTAAGATCAAGACCTGAACAGAGATAGAGTTGGACTGAGTCACCTGGGTACCCCATACATCCATCATTGTTTTATCAGGCAGTTCCCTGGCCCTTACCTGTATCTCCATCACCCCTACCGAATTAGCCCACCCCAGGGCTTAAAGTGGGGAGCCTGGTTGCCTCAATTGGTTGAGTCTGGCTCTTGATTTTGACTCAGGTCTTTATCTCAGGGTCCTGAGATCAAGCCCCAAGTGGGGTTCCCTGCTCAGCAGGGACTCTGCTTGAGATCCTCTCTCCCTCTCCCTCTGCCCCTCCCACAACCCTCTAAAATAAGTAAATCTTTTTTTTAATTTTTTTTTTATTTATGATAGTCACAGAGAGAGAGAGAGAGAGGCAGAGACACAGGCAGAGGGAGAAGCAGGCTCCATGCACCGGGAGCCCAACGTGGGATTCGATCCCGGGCCTCCAGGATCGCGCCCTGGGCCAAAGGCAGGCGCCAAACCGCTGTGCCACCCAGGGATCCCTAAAATGAGTAAATCTTAAAAAAAAATAAAGCTATATAACATTTGTAGACTTTCATACAAGAGTATCACTTCTATTTTATCCTCAAGAAATAATTCCCTGAAAATACCATACGGAAAATATATTTACTATAGTGTTATTTTTGCAATGAAAACACAAAACCCTGAAAGTCTAGCTATACTGGAACTGATTAAGAGGATTTGAAGCTCTGGTGACACAGACCAACTTGGAAGCTTTGTTACAATGTTTGTAAGATAGTTACTTCTGTTTCTCTAAGGGTGTAATCTGTATATTTTTCAAATGTTCCCCTAGAGGTTTATTACCCTCCCCCCCACCCGGCTGGTACCCTCAGTATGGCATTTTACACCACCTCCGGGCCACCCCCCAAGCTAAAGCTTAAGGGAACCTGGTTACCTGTTTTTTTTCTCTGGCCTCAATCTCAGGGCCTTTGCCCATCACCGGCAGGACTGTCACTTCACTTCACAAGGTGGCAGATAAAAACACCTGACCATTGATGAGAGTCAGGAGGAGAGGGATGCTGAGGGGGATAGGAAAAGGAGTCCTTGTCACATGGACTTTGTTTTTCTGTTTCGTTTTCTGTAACGTGTGCTTTTTGAAATAGAGTAGTTGGCAATAACCTGACCCTCACACTGTCCTTGTATTATCTTGTTTCTTAGTTCCACGAGGTGTTGTTCAGTACATCCTTAGGGGAAAAAAAGACCTTTTAACACACACACACACACACACACACACACACACACACACACACACACACATCTCCACCATTCATTTCCTCCCTCTCCCTCCCCAAACCTACAATTTCCTCTTTAAAATGACCGTTGTGGAGATCCCTGGGTGGCGCAGCGGTTTGGCGCCTGCCTTTGGCCCAGGGCGCGATCCTGGAGACCCGGGATCGAGTCCCACGTCGGGCTCCTGGTGCATGGAGCCTGCTTCTCCCTATGTCTCTGCCTCTCTCTCTTTCTCTCTCTGTGACTATCATAAAATAAATAAAAATTAAAAAAAATGACCGTTGTGAAGACGATGCTAACACCGAATTCCGACAATGACAAATTATCATCGACACAGAAAAAAAAAAAACAATAAAACTTTTTATCATTGTACTTCAAAAGATGAAGACCACAGGAAAAATATATATATACCCCAAATGCCAACAAGGGTTTTGTAGGATCCAACACATTTTTGTAATTTCCAAAATGTCCGTGACATATGTAATTTTATAGTTAAAGTAATTTTAAAGATAAATCTGTGAAAACGGAATCGCAGGCTTCTACGAACCAGCTGGTTCTGGCTTCATCTCTCGGAGGTACACGCGCGGTAGCTTTTGAAATGCGAGGCCTATTTTGGGGGAAGGAAGAGAGGAGCCCGGCTTGAAGGGCGGTTCTCGTGGTTACTTCTCTGCAGCGTTTCAGTACCGTCCCATGACCCAGGCCATCAAATGCATTCACCGCCTCTTCCTCTCTGATCTGTCCCCAAAACGTCCGCGGAGGATGCGGTGGGACAGACAGGACACCCCGAGCGCGGCCGTCTTGCTCCGGGGGGACCAGCCCAGCAGAGCGCGCCCGGGACGCTGGTAGCCACCGCGGCTCACTCCCCGCCGCCCTGGCCCCGCCCAGCCCCGGCAAGGCCCCGCCCCCTTAGACAGGCCCCGCCCCCACCAGGCCCCACCCACCGCCGTCACGTGGCGGGGCGCGGGGTGCAGCCTGCAGCTGCTGATGCTGCCGCCCGGTGTTCGCCATGGAGCTGGCGCCCCGAGCCTCTTCCGTGCCGCTGCTGCTGCTACTTCTGGGCCTGAGCACCGGTAGGTTCGGGCAAAAGGTGCATCAGCGGCCGGTGCCTCCTTCTCTCTCCAGGGCTGAGCGTGTGTAGTGGTTTGCGCTTTTGAAAGCAAATCTCTTTCCCCCAGTTTCTACCTTGCATAATTATACTGCTTTGGAACCTCGCTCTCCTTCCTTCTTCTTTTTTTTTTTTTTTTTATGCTAAGTATTTTTTCTACTGGCTGAGTGGTCTGGTACTCCTCTCTTCCCTACCCCCTAGGTAGAAGCATTTGTGCAAAATACATGACTTGGGAAAACTGCTGATCCATGAGGTTTCCACGATCCGAAGTCCACCGCCCTTTTCCTGCGGTGATTGGCTGCTAAATGGGTTCATGAGGGCTTTTTATTTTGAGCTGAAACGTGCGGTGCGAAGGACCCTGAAAAACAAACCCTATCACGAATGGGACGTTTCATTGAGATAAGGTCTTTCTCTCTCTCCTTATCAGGACGGGATAACATCTCCCCTCACTGCAGTTCTTTTTGACGAAAACAAATTCGTGTTTAATAGGATGACTTGCACATTGGTTTTCACTCTTTCACCAGAATGTCTCGTGGTCTGAATCAAGGTCCGAGAATTCCAACTGGCCACAAACTCGCCTTGTGATCTTAGGCCGAGTGCTTAGGAGTTCTCTTCCGTTTTGTAAACTGGGGATCCTCTGGCCCTTCAGCTTGGGTCTGGGAAATGTTGTCAAATATATCGCCCTCCCCAAATTTTTAGCAGTGGTCACTGCCAGGGAAGGGAGGAGTGCCAGCCGCTAAGTCAAAAGGGACGCAAACCCTATTTGTCATTTCTCCAGGAGACTGTAATCTTAGGTCACTTGAACAGAGAATCTTTAAGCCACATCTGTGATCTAGCCATTCTGTTTTGCTCCTCAAGCCACTTTCTGGTTTTCTTAATCTACATCCTTCTTACAGAACCCCCAAATCCCACCCCCAAGGGAGTAGTGTCCTGGTCTACTCCCTTCTCTTCTGTTTCAGACCAGTTTTTGTGCCTTGCCTTGTCACGGGGGCTTGAAATTTCCGAAAAGAGGAAGTAGAAGGCAGGAAACTCCCATCATGGAGGGTCAGCTCTCATCATCTTTAGCCTCAGCCTTTTCTTACCCACAGAGGGGTATTTGCGGAAAACAACTGTTGACTCGAGAGCTGTTACTTTAGCAAAGGTGACAGAAAATGTATCGAACCTACTCTTTTCTGATACAACATCTTTTCAGATGCTACAAAGTTAACTAGGGAAAATTGAGGCTGTGGAATTAAAGGATACGCGCGCGTGTGTGTATATATATATATATATATATATATAGCTTTTGATCTATGGAATATCTTTCTTTTGATATTTGCAAAGCCAAGCTGCCTTCCCCAAAGGTGATGCCAGCGTGCACTCTTGCTGACAGTGCTGAGGACTGATCTCCTGTCTCCTTGTGGACATTGAGCACCTGCCATTATTTTTTTTATCCATCAAATAAGCCAACGTTTTTTTAGTGACCTCATATTGATTTGACTTTCATAGCTGAGTATTAGTGATGTTAACTCTTTTTTCACATATTAATTGGCCATTCAAATTTCCTTTTCGTAAATTATTTCCTCAGAGCCTTCACACATTTAATTAGGATCTTCCTTTTTGGGTTTTTTTGTTTTGTTTTGTTTTTTTTTTTTAAAGATTTTATTTATTTATTCATGAGAGACACAGAGAGAAAGAGAGGCAGAGACACAGGCAGAGGGAGAAACTGGCTCCTCGCAGGAAGCCTGATGTGGGACTCGATCCTGAGTCTGGATCTCCAGAGTCACACCCTGGCTGAAGGCGGCGCTAAACCGCTGAGCCATGCGGGCTGTCTTGATCTTACTTTTTGAAATTGATCTACATGAGAAAGGAAAATCACCCTTTTTCATATTTGTTGCAGATCTTTCTTTCTTGTATGCTTTTTAATTTTATTTCTGATGTACATAAATTTTGTTGTACAGAATATATAACAAGCCTCTGTCCTCAACTCTGTTTATCTTTTTCTTTGTAGTCTCTGGGGGTATGGCCACATCACTTCCCCAACCAGAGATCAGAAAAGCATTCAATTATATTTTTGTATTTTTTTAATGTCTAAAATTTAAAATTGAAACACTTGATCCACTTGAAATTTATTTTGGTTTACAGTGTCAAGTAAGGACCTGTGTTGTTGTTTTTTTTCTCCCTCACAAAAGCTAACAGTTGCCCCAGCATAATAAAGTGAATATTGGTCCCTCTCATTTGGGATACTTCTTTAATCATATATTAAATGAGATATTAAAAGCCAGCATCTTGCAGTTTTTCTTTTTTTTTTCCCAGAAATGTGAATCTGTCTTTCTAAAATAGAATTGTAAATGTGTTTCAGGCTTATTGTTAAAAATCTAAGTATTGGGGCACCTGGGTGGCTCAGTGGTTGAGCTTCTGCCTCTGGCTCACGTCGTGATCCTCATGTCCTGGGATCGAGTCCTGCATCAGGCTCCCCATGGGGAGCCTGTCTCTGCCTCTCTCTCTGTCTCTCATGAATAAATAAATAAAATATTTTTTTAAAAAAAATCTGAATATTGCAGAGGGTGCAGAGGAAAAAGTGAAAGCCCTTAACCTCCTTTGCCACTGTTAAATTTGATTTGGGGATCCCTGGGTGGCGCAGCAGTTTGGCGCCTGCGTTTGGCCCAGGGCGTGATCCTGGAGACCCGGGATCAAGTCCCGTGTCGGGCTCCCGATGCATGGAGCCTGCTTCTCCCTTTGCTTGTCTCTGTCTCTCTCTATATATATATGTGATTATCATAAAAAAACTTTTTTTGGTTTGCCTTTTTTTTAATAGTTTTTTAAAAAGATTTTATTTATTTATTAGAGATACAGAGAGAGAGGCAGAGACCCAGACAGAGGGAGAAGCAGGCTCCATGCAGGGAGCCCGATGTGGAACTCAATCCCAAGTCTCCAGGATCCGGCCCTGGACCAAAGAGGGCGCTAAACCGCTGAGCCACCCGGGCTGCCCTGCCTTTTTCTTTTTTCTTTTCTTTTCTTTTTTTTTAGAAGGAGAGAGTGGGTGGGAGAGGCAGAAGGAGAGTCTCAAGCTGACTGCTCCACACAGAGCCGATGCAGGGCATGATCTCATGACCCTGAGATCAACACCTGAGCTGAGATGAAGCGTCAGGTGCTTAACTGACTGAGCCACCCAGGCACTCCTGGTTTGCTTTTTCATTAACTGAAGTGCTTTTCCTTATCTCCACAATATATTAAAGTGAGTAAATTGCCTCAAATAGGAACCAAATTTTCTCCAGTTTAGCATGGCTGTCTCTGCAGGTTTGGACTTTACCTGGATGTTACACATTCTTTGGGAAGATCACATTGTACTTCTGTTTTAGGAGCGGTCACTGACTGGCCTGCAGAAGAGGGAAAGGAAGTATGGGATTACGTGACCATCCGCAAGGATGCCCACATGTTCTGGTGGCTCTATTATGCCACGAACCCCTGCAAGAACTTTTCAGAACTGCCCCTGGTCATGTGGCTTCAGGTAAAAGTGGCTTGGCTGCCCAGCCAGCTTCCCCCACATACTGCTTTGCTTGGTCTTAAGGTCTCACAGCTCAGCTGTGAAGGACTAATCAGATCCAGCAGCTGATGGAGGGTCTCCTAGGGTTGGAGGTTTGGTGTCCTCCTGGGGCAGGCAAAGGCAATGGTCTACCGAGGGGGCCAAATCAAAGAGTGAGGGGTTCTAGCCTTTGTGGGGGGGTCTTTTTATATTGAGCTCGGCCAGTGGCAGGACGCCTTCATGGAAGCTCTTAAAGACACATTTGACTTTATGCTCACAGAAATGTTTTGAAAGGTTCCAAAGCAAAGGCTAGGGCACTCTGAGCGCCCCTCCCTCTCCCTCTTCTACTAGTCCCTAGTAGACCCTAAATAAATAGGGTCTAAATCCTAGACCTTAAATCCTCACCCCCAGAAAAGCTGATCTTTGTAAAGGATTCAGCCTTTTGTATCTTAGTATTAAATATTGGGCCTATCCTTCTCCCTGAGTGTGTTTGCATGTTCATCTTGATCTCTGATTGTAGGCTGGAAGGCAGGGGACTGGTTGAAGGGTATTTGGGGGTAGTCAGAGGAGCCTTCCTTGCATTCCTAAAATACCTGCCCAGAGGTGGCCCACACCCACCTGGAAGACCAGTCTGTAGGGAGGGGTTGAGGAACACGCTCTTGCTTCAGCCTCTAGAGACTGGAGGTATGGCCCAGATTAGGCTCCAGGTGGCTCATCGGTAAATAAGTGTCCTTCTTCTCCCTTCCCAGGGATGCAAATGTCACTTCCTCCCAGAATGTCAGCATTCACCAGCAACCTGCCAGTGCCCTGGGCTTGGCCTCCTTGGCTAACCCCCACAGACTTTCTGGTGAGATAGGGCTCAGAGGAGCCCTTTGTAGGGAAAGGCCTTTTCCCTTGTAGCGTTATACAACTGTTACCTTTGAGGGCTGGACATGAGGCCCCGCTTGAGGGTGCAGATAAGAAGAATGCATGTGTGTATCCCTGTGAACTTCTGTTTACCTCGGGGCTGCCGGAGGCGGAAATGCAGCAGAGTTCTGTTTTCTGAGCTTTGGTTTTTCATCTGAGGATTTTATTAATCAGCAGGACTTCTTCCAACCTCAAGTGAAAGCTTACAAACGGAGCCAAAGCAGAAAGCAGAAGTACTGGAGTGTAGGCCAGGTGCTACCCAGTCAGCATCCTCTTTGTCACATGCTGCCCCTGAAGCACTTTCTGGGCTCTTAGGAATTTAAAAACTGTTCAACTTTAGAAGTTGCAGATCTTTCCTTTGGTTGATTGCAGAGTGAGGTGGTTGTTCTATCTGAATTAGTTGCCAACATTTTTTGTTTTGTTTTGTTTTAGATTTATTTATTTATTTATTTATTTATTTATTTATTTATTTGATAGAGAGAGAGAAGGGAGAGAGAATCCCAAGGAGACTCCAGGCTGAGTGTGGAGCCCAGCTTGGGGCTCAATCTCATGACCGTGAGATCATGATCTGAGCTGAAACCAAGAGTTGGACACTCCAAATGCGCCACCAAACATCTCACTTGCCAACATCTTAAATTCAAAACATTTTCCTTTTTCCAACAATCAGGAGACATGGCATCTTGGGTCCTGAACTTGCTATCCCAAAGCTGAGTGACCGTGGCCCCTTTCACACAGTGCAGGAGCTTCTGGAGGAGGGGCTCCCTCTGCCTACAGCTGATTTCTCTGCTCTGTGCGTACACTTTGTCACGCCACCCAGTGTAGGACTTTGGTTAGGTTAACCCTCTGAGCTAAGATACTCATTGAAGGTTATCCACAGGCTAAGTAACCAACCTGCCCTTCATTTCCTCTGAGGCCCACAGGAGAAGGAAAAAGACTATGATTAGGGAAGAAATAATTAATTTCGATGAAAAGGAAATCTATTTTAGCAGCCTACTGGTGACACACATACTGACTTCTGTGGGCAGGTCTTTGAGTAATTGAGGTCATGTCACCAGAGTGAAGTAACTCTGAGTGCAGTAGTGAGCTATTTTCGATACACTTTCAAGTCATTTAAGCAGTCCAGTTGGTCTGCTGACATGTTTCCCATATTTCAGAGTCACCAGATAGTCCTGGGCCATGAAAGCACCCTATTCCGAAGTTCTAAGGGAAAAAAGACTTTGCGGTAGGATGTTCTCAAATAGAACAGAAACATCTTTCAGCCAGCTTCTTGTTGCCATTGGGGTTAGGGGAGGGAGGGGTGTCGTCTCCTGCTTCTGACCACAGCTTATCAAAAGCAGGCCAGAAAATTGGGAGTTGTCCCACCAAGGCCAAGCCTCCTAGGATTCCCAGCTTCCCTCCTTTTGTTCTGGTCCTGTCCTGTTTCCCAGTCAGTCCACTAGGAGAAAGGGGCCCAGCACCCACCTGGAGATATACGCTTGCTCTTAATTTACTGTGTGTTGCATTTTGCAGTGTTGCCACATAATTCCATTTAGTTTGTGGTTCTAAATGGCTGTTTCACAGTCTGTACTGATCTGTTCCCTTAGCGAGGGGCATTGGAGGTGCATCCTTTCACTGTCCTAAATGTCACTGTGGTGAACAGCTGCCCCTGGTTTGTGAGCTTTTTACCATGATATTGGGAAAGCTTAAGATACCGAGTGCATATAATTAGAGGGATGGATAGCCTCCCAGTTTTTTTTTTTTTTTTCGCCTCCCAGTTTTATAATAGTTTGGGGTAGGTTCAAAACATTACATAGTTTCACACAGTCTTTCCCTGTTGGAATCTTCCAGTTACCCCTGAGCCCTGACCTGATGTTGTCTCCCCCCCACCCCCCTTAGATTGTCCTATACAAGTAGCCCTGGCTTCTGTTTTGCCGGAGCTATTCCTTCCATGTTTGTGTATGATCCTTTCTTGTCCATCTTGCTCATGCACAGGGAGGCAGGATCCTTTCTCTGAAGGCCTGTGACCTTGGCTCAGCTGGTCCCCGAGGCTTTGTTCAGAAGAGCACTGACCATGCTTTCCCCTGACTGTCTTCCAAAGGGCCACCTTCCCTGGCTTAGCCCTTCACAACCCATGGGACGTCCAGCTCCCGTGGTTGGGCCCAGACACTGAGCTCTGTTCACAGCCCTGCCCCACCGCCCCTCAGTCCTGAGCACACAGTGTCCAGCCCTCCCTGCTCTAGGACTTTTGCATTTGCTAAATTATATCCTAGGGATCCATGTGATTACACTGCCCCTTAAACTGTGGCCCTAGTCATTTCGCAGGGACACTGAGGAGACAGTGGTGTGGTGGAGAGTCACAGGGTATGCCCCTTCCCTGGACTAACTGCTCATCTTGGAAATGCGAGCAGTTGGGCAAGGTGTCGTGAAGATCAGTGAACCTCATGGCAGGCCAGGGTTCAATCTCAGAGGATCAGGGGTAGGAAAGTCCCTTCTGGGGCTCTTAGACCAGATCTTTTCCATTTATTTGTTTACTTACTTAATTTTGATTTTAATTTTATTCTCAAGTAATCTCTACACCCAACATGGAGCTCAAACTCACAACCCTGAGATCAAGAGTCACATGGTGTACTGAGCCAGCCAGGCATCCCTGGGTCTTTTCCCTGTAGAAAGCTTGAGCAGTCAATTACCAGGGGGTTCTGTTGATACAGACACCCCGGTTCTCCAGGTCAGCTGTGTCTTTCCTATAATGTTGACCCAGCCATCCCTAAATCATAAGTTGTTGGGAACCCTGGGTGGCTCAGCAGTTGAGTGCCTGCCTTTGGCTCAAGGTGTGATCCCGGATTCCCAGTTTCGAGTCCCACATCAGGCTCCCTGCATGCAGCCTGGTTCTCTGTTTGCCTGTGTCTCTGCCTCTGTCTCTCATGAATAAATAAATAAAATCTTTTAAAAAAAATCATAACTTGTTTATTGTGAATGTGGTCAGTGTTATGATGCTTTAACTAATGTTTTCTCTGGGTTTATTTTCTCTTCCACAGGGTGGTCCAGGTGGTTCCAGCACTGGATTTGGAAACTTTGAGGAAATCGGGCCCCTTGATAGTGATCTCAAACCACGAAGAACCACCTGGGTACAGTGAGCATAGCCCCTATCTGCATATGCCCTGTGGCCTCGCCAAGCCTGAACACTGCCACCCCGGCCCTCCCGCAGTCTGGGGGGGGGGGTGGTCACAAGTTTAGCAGCACTGCCCCATCCCTTTCCCTGTGTCCATTTCTCAGGATAGCTTATCCCTTCCTGGGACTCTCTGGCCTTCCCACATCGCAGCAGAAGCTTGTTCTCGCAGACACCAGAGTCCTCATGACTCCCCCCATATGGGCGATCTCTGCAGGGTCCCTGCCTCTGGCCACCACCTTCATGCCAACCCCGTCTCACCCCCTCGCTACCACCTTGCTTCTGGACTTCATCACGACTTCAGAGCCTTTGTCCTCTACCCTGTTGGTGTCTCTCTAGCTCTGCCTTCCTCCTTCCCTCCCTCATTCTTAGTTTCACTTCCTGCCCTAACCCCTCTCTGCTCAACCCCTGGCTCCTTCATCCTTCTCCCTGACCAGCCATGCCACCCCCAAGCTTGTATCAGTCCCACTGTCCCCCTGGTTGGATCTCCTCTCGGGTACCAAATGCTGGTGGGCAAAACCGTCTGGCTGGCAGGGAGGGGCTGAGGCTGCCCTCATCGGTGTGCTGGGGCCCCGCTCCCCTCCTGGTCTGACCGGCCTCCCCGCCTCCCCGAGAGAACGGAGCCATCACCTGTGACCAGCTAGCCCCTGGCCTCGCTAATAAGTGCTTCACTACCCTGCCCCTCACTACCCTCCCGTCTCAAAACAAAACTCGAGGCTCCTCCCTGCTGAGGTCCCTCCTCCAAGATTCCTAACTTGGACAGTTAGTACCTTTCCACATCCTTACGCTGTCTCTAGTCTCTCTTCTCCCTGGGGTGCAGGGTACACAGGTTTCCCCCAACCTACTACACAAGCCACTCCAGCTACTACCTTTTTTTTTTTTAAAGATTTTATTTATTCATGAGAGACAGAGAGAGAGGCAGAGACATAAGGCAGAGGGAGAAGCAGGCTCCCCGTGAGGAGCCTGATGTGGGACTCGATCTGGTGACTCCAGGATCACACCGAGCTGAAGGCAGATGTTCAACCGCTGAGCCACCCAGGTGTCCCTAGCTACTACCCTTTCTTAAGAGAGTTTTTTATATAGGCATACCGTGGAGACACTTTGGGTTTGGTTTGAATTTTTTAAATTTCCCAGGCCATATAAAAGTTAATGCTTACATTATACTGTGGTCTGTTACATGGGCACTAACATGATGTGTAAAAAAACACTGTACATACCTTAATGAAAAAGTGCCCTATTGCTAAAAAATGCTAGCCATCATCTGAACTTCCCATGAGTGGTGTTCATTGGTTACAGAGCACTAAAATAAGTACAATAATAATGAAACAGTTTAAGTATTTCAAGAATTATCAAAATGTGGCACAGAGACATTACGTGAGCAATTGCTGTTGGGAAAATGGTACTCATGGACTTGCTCAATGTGGGGTTGCCCACAGACCTTCAATTTATAGAAAGAACAGTAAAATGAGGTGTGCTGTTTACTGCTGTCTAGTCTTTACTTCCTATATATGCTTTAGCCTAGAGCTTTCTGGGCTAGGGGCTGGGGGCAGGAGAGAGTGGGTGCTAGGGAACCCAACGCATATTAGCTCTAGGGTACAGTACACGTATCTCCTCCATGGCCCAGACAAGGTTGGGAAGCACTGCCCTAACCCATTTGGCTCTTCCCCTAACTCTGCTGGAGCTGTTGTCCTCAGGGGCATGCTGGCTTCCCAATTCCAAGTCCAGCAGATCCTTCATGGGATTCTTTTCATGGACTTTTTTGCTATCCTGTTGGCCATTCCCATGTCTTAGATGTTGCTGTTTCCCATACTGTGTCCTTGGTAATATTCTCTTCTATGTATGTTCTTTTGGCAGCCCTATCCTCTGAGACTGCTTTAATGATACATAGATGATGATGATTCCCAAGTCAGTATCTCTAGCTCAGAACTTTTTGCCCCAGAACTATTTCTCCATTTGCCTCTGAGATGTCTCCGTGTGGATGTCCCTCATACATTCCCTATTCAAGATACTCCAATCTATGTTCATTAGTACACCGTACCCTCTACCCACCCACAAAACCAGCCAACTCCATGTGTCCCTCATTGTGGCAGATGGTACCACCATCCAATCAGGTGTCTGAGCCAGAAATCAGAGAGCCATCCTTGTCTTCCTGTGCTCCTCACCCACTCATCCAATCAGTTTTAACTAAAATAAATTCTTTTTTCTTTTTTAAAGATCTGATTTATTTATTTATTTGAGAGAGGGAGAGAGGGGGAGCATGAGTAAGGGCAGAAGGAGAAGCAAACTTCCTGCTGAGTGTGGAGCCTGACACAGGGCTGAATCCCAGGACCCTGAGATCATGACCTGAGTCAAAGGTCATGCATAACTGACTGAGCCACCCAGGCGCCCCTAAACATGAATTCGTAGGGACGCCTCGGTGGCTCAGCGATTGAGCTTCTGCCTTTGGCTCAGGGCGTGTCCTGGGATTGAGCCCCGCATCGGGCTCCCTGCATGGAGCCTGCTTCTCCCTCTGCCTGTGTCTCTGCCTCTCTCTCTGTGTTTCTCATGAATAAGTAAATAAAATCTTAAAAAAAAAATGAATTCATAAAATATAGCTTTATTGAAATAATTCACATACCCTGCAACTCACCCATTTAAAGTATACAATTCAGCGTCATTCAGTATATTCAGAGTTTTATAACCATTACCACAATAAATTTCAAAACATTTTACTACTCTCCCATCCCAGAAAGCCTCCTACCCCTTGACTATTAACCACCAGTCTCTCCTTAGGCAACCACTAATCTATTTTCTGTCTCTGTAGACTTGCCTGTGTTAACCATTTTATAACAATGGAGTCATACGGTATGTGGCCTTTGGTGTGTGGCTTCTCTCATTTAGCATAATATTTACGAGGTTCATCCATGTTGTGTGTGCCACTACTTCTCTTTTTGTAAGGGCGAATAATACTCCATTGTATGGCTATACCACATTTTGTCTCTTCATCTGCTGATGAACACTTAGGTTGTTGCCATGGTTTGGCTCAATGAATAGTGCAGGGGACACTGGTGGCAAACATTTGTTTGAGTTCCTATTTTCAGTTTTGGTGAAGGGGGATACACCTCAAAATAGAATTGCTGTGTCACATGATAACTCTCTTTAACACCCGAGCATTGGTAATATTCTTCATCCACCCCTTTTCCATCCTCTCTAGTGGCTGCTTTCAGAGTGCATCTCCAATGCAGATCTCTCCTTAGTTTAATCACTCTTTCAGTTCCCAGAAGATCAATCCAGATTCCTGCTCTCTCCCTACCTCCTGCCACATCTCCCAACATCTGTCCATCTACACTCTACCTTCAGGCCTCTGCCTGGCCAGTTCCTTGGCTTGGACTTCATTCCTTTGACCACTCATTCACACCTAGCTTCCCATACTCACGTGTCCATTAGTCACTCAGTGCAGGGCCATTCTTCCTCCATGTCCCTCTGAGTCCTTGGATTCTCTGTGTCTCCCTTCTGGTCCTCCTTTTTTTTTTTAAGATTTTATATTTATTCATAGACACAGAGAGAGGGGCAGAGACACAGAGGAAGAAGCAGGCTCCACGCAGGGAGCCCGATGTGGGACTCGATCCCTGGTCTCCAGGATCACACCCCAGACTGCAGGCGGCGCCAAACCGCTGTGCCACAGGAGCTGCCCCCTTAAGTGCAGTTTACTTTTGCCTCTGAGTCTTTGCACATGCCATTTCCTTAGCCTGGAACATTCCTGAACTTGTTTCTGACTGAATTATCACTTCTACTTTGCCTTTCTCTGTCTTAGTCTCTGTTTCTGGCCCTTATTATTTATTTATTTTGAAAGTAGGCTCCGGCCCAATGTGGAGCTTGAACTCACAACACTGAGATCAAGAGTTGCAAGCTCTACTGACTAAGCCAGCCAGGCGTCCCTCCTGTCCCTTACTATTTTTTGAAATCCCTTTTAGCAGTAGGATTGTAAGCATGCTGGTACCTTCACATCCTTGGGTTTTGTTGAGTTCATAGAAGATGGTAGAAAGACAGTCAGTGACTGAGTGATTGTACCACTTGACTTTCCTATGTGACATGTAGCTCCAGTCAGCCAGTCTCCTATTTGTGGATAACCCCGTGGGCACTGGGTTCAGTTACGTGAACAAGAGTGATGCATATGCCAAAGACCTTGCCACAGTGGCGTCAGACATGATGGTTCTCCTGAAGACTTTCTTCGATTGCCACAAGGAATTCCAGGTGAGCAGTGACTCGGGCACAGCTAAGCAAAGGGGCTAGCGGTCACACAACTACATCCACCTGAATAAACTTAAATTTCCCCAAGAGATCAGTGTCTAGCCATTGTCAGAGAAAACTTTTCTGCACCTGAGGTCAGATTGTGGCCTTTTGTTTCTGTCATCTCTAAAAGTGGTTTTGAGCTTGAAAGAATGACCTTGGAGCCCAGTATTCTGATCAGATATGGGGGGAAAGACCAATAAAAGCAGATTTGTCTTGTCTGGCCATGACATGCAATAGAAATTTGAAATTCATGTGAATAAAAAAAGCATTCGGGATGTTTAATTCTTTGTAAATTCCTTTTCTTGCTAGACGATTCCATTCTACATTTTCTCAGAGTCCTACGGAGGCAAAATGGCTGCTGGCATTGGTCTAGAACTTTATAAGGTAACGGGAAAGATGACTCTGTTTGGGTTTCAGACAGAAACTGATTCTGTTCTTTTCTATATCACCTTATACTGTATATACTTTGAGTAGGACCTTATATAAAATCTGTAATAATCATCACAAGAAGTTTCAGAGAGAACAGTGAAAATTGCCCTACCAGTTGTGAAATAAGCTGGAAAGAAAGCTACAGCGAGTGAAACAATGTGCTAGCACAGCAGCAGACTAACAGATTAAATGCAGCAGGATAAAGGATCCAGAAACAGATTTTACATATACTGGTGTATAAACATATGTATGTAAATAACCTGTATATGTAATGCATATGATCATATGGCATTATCACATCCGATGATAAGATGGCATTTCAGATCATTGGGCAGCAGATAGAATATTTCATGAATGGCATGGAAACAAATGGTTCTCACTTTAAAAAACTATAATGTTGAATTCCTTTCATAAAACATCAGTTCTAGATAAACATCTAAACATAAAGAAAAAATCCAAACATAAAAATCAAAACTATAAGAGAACCTGAAGCTTACCTTCATTTAAAAATTTTTATTTTCTTTTATTTTTTATTTTTTGAGAGAGTGTGGGTGTGTGAGCAGGGAGGAGGGTAGAGGCAGAGGGAGAAAGAGAATCTCAAGCAGACTCTGCAAAACCCAACATGAGGCTCCATCTTCCAACCCAAGATCATGATCTGATCCTAAATCAAGAGTTGGACACAACTGACTGAGCCACCCAGGTGTCCCTGAAGCTTTCCTTCATAAGACGAAATACCCAAAGGCTAAAAAGGATAAAGTTGATATATTTAGACCACATTAAAATTTAAAAGATTTTTTTTTAATTTTTATTTATTTATGATAGTCACAGAGAGAGAGAGAGGCAGAGACACAGGCAGAGGGAGAAGCAGGCTCCATGCACCGGGAGCCCGACGTGGGATTCGATCCCGGGTCTCCAGGATCGCACCCTGGGCCAAAGGCAGGCGCCAAACCGCTGCGCCACCCAGGGATCCCATTTTTTTTTTAAAGATTTTTTTTTAATTTTTATTTATTTATGATCACATTAAAATTTAAAACTCAAGAGTTCCATAATTTCAGAAGACATATATATGTATGCCGGCATAAATCTATGCTAGAAAAAATACTTATATATATTTTTTAAAGAATTTATTTATTTATTCATGGAAGACACACAGAGAGGTAGAGACATAGGCAGAGGGAGAAGCAGGCCCTCTGTAAGGAGCCCAGTGTGGGACTCGATCCCAGATTCTAGGATCACGCCCTGAGCCAAAGGCAGACACTCAACAGCTGAGCCACCCAGGCATCCCAAAAAAGTACTTATATTGATAACCATAAAAAGAGACAAGATCCTAGAAGTAAATTGGCAAAAAATATAAAGCAATGTATATAGCAAAAATGCAAACAGCCTGTGAACATATGACAAATGCTCAACTTTTGTTAGCCAAATCTATAAGGTTTACAAATATTTAAAAGATTAGTGACACCCAGTTTTGGTAAGAAGTCAGGGAAATAAATGTTTTTCTCCACTTTTGGTGAGACTGGAAATTGGGAAATCATTTTATTTTATTTTATTTTTTTTAAGATTTTTATTTATTTATTCATGAGAGACAGAGAGAGAGGCACAGACAGAGGCAGAGGGAGAAGTAGGCTCCATGCAGGGAGCCTGACATGGGACTCGATCCCGGGTCTCCAGGATCGCGCCCTGGGCTGAAGATGGCGCTAAACCGCTGAGCCACCCGGGATGCCCGGGAAATCCTTTTAAAAGGGCAATTTGGCAGTCTTTGTCAACTTGTAAATCTCTATGCCCTCAGACCCAATAATTTCAGCTCCAGGAATCTGTCCTGTGGGAATTCTTGTGTGTGTGTGTGTGTGTGTGTGTGTGTGTGTGTGTCAGTGTGTCAGAGATTTTTTTTTTTTTTTTACATTTATTTGAGAGAGAGAGAGAGAGAAAGTGAGAGCTTGTCGGGGAAGGAACAGAGGGAGAGAGAGACTTAAGCAGACCCCCAGCTGAGCACAGAGCCTAACACGGGGCTCAATCTCATGACCCTGAGATCCCAAACTGAGCTGAAACCAAGAGTCAGACACTTAACCAACTGAGCCACCCAGGCGCCCCAAGTCCGAGGATGTTTAATACACTATTGTTTACCATGCCCTTCAACAGGAAACAAGGTCAGGGCTGTCCCTATAAGATTAGTTAGATAAAATAAATGTATCCTTCCACGAGAGGACACTTTGCAGCCAGTATAAAGAATGGCTACATTTCTATATCTGTGTGTATAAGCTTGTGAAAGCAAAGAAAGGGGTTAGAAGGGTATGTAACATGTTAACTGTGGCCAGCTGGCCATGTGGGACAGAGGGCAAGTCTCTCCACATTTTCTCCTGTCCACGACACTGTTTAAATTTATTTACAATGCTCTTATATGGCCTTTGCTTTTTTAAGATTTATTAATTTTTTAAAAAAAATTAACCTTTTGTAAGAAATAGTATATGTGTGATAACAGAAAATTAGAAAATACAGCAAAGCACAAATTTAAACTTAGAATGTCACCTTTGCACCACGTGGAGAGCCTGTTAACACCTTAGTGGATGTGCCTTTACATCTTTTTCTGCACTTTTATAAAATCCTTTTTAAACCAATATGAGGTCATCTTAGACATCATGTCTACAGCCTGCTTTCTTCATCACTAGTCCTCACCTTCCCATTTCAGCACATTTTCATCTCAAATATTCAGATTCCTTTAATGATCCCAAAGTGTCCTTGATAGCTGGTTGGTCCTGCATCAAAGCAGATGCAAGAATCACAGCTGGCTGTGATGTCTCTAAAGTCTGTTTTCATCTAGCACAGTTCCTTTAAAATGACTCAGACTCCGTGAAGAAACCAGACTACTTGGCTTGTCTCCTTTTTTGTCTGGTCATGTCTTCATGGTGTTTATTTAAATTCTCTCTTTACTGTATTTCCTACAAAACTGTAAGTTATAAAGTCTAATAGATTCAAGGTAAACGTTTTGGCTAGCATATATTGTAATAGGTCAGGTTTCAGGAAAAATCCAGCTCAATACCTGTTTTTATTTAAGTATTTATGTATTTGACAGAGAGCGCGAAAGAGCACAAGCAGGGGGAGCTGCAGAAGGAGGGGCACAGGAGAGGGAAAAGCAAGCTCCCCACTAAGCAGGGACCCCGACTGAGGCTCAATCCCAGGACCCTGAAATCACGACCTTAGCTGGAGGCAGACGCTTAACCATCTGAGCGCCCCTACCACCTGTTTTTATATGATCTGTGAGCTAAGAAGGGCTTTTATATGAACTAAGAGTGCCTTTTAGACTTTCAAGTGGTGGTGATGTAGGGAGGGGAATAAAAGCAGAATAACTTTTTTTTTAAGATTTTATTTATTCATGAGAAACACACATACAGAGGCAGAGACATAGGCAGAGGGAGAAGCAGGCTCCCTATGGGGAGCCCAATCCTGAGATCATGACCTGAGCCAAAGGCAGGCACTCAACCACTGAGCACCCAGGTGCCCCAAAAGCAGAATATTTCATGATGGTGGGCATCCCTGGGTGGCTCAGCGGTTTAGCGCCGCCTTCAGCCCAGGGCCTGATCCTGGAGTCCTGGGATCGAGTCCCACGTTGGGCTCCCTGCATGGAGCCTGCTTCTCCCTCTGCTTCTCTCTCTGTCTCTATGTCTCTCATTAATAAATAAATTATATATATATATATATATTTTTTTTAAAGATGATATGAAAATTACATGAAACTCAAATTTCAGCATCCACAAATAAAGTCTTATTAGAACTCTTCATTTGTTTACCTATTGCCTATGGCTGTTCTAGAGTTACACTGGCAGAGCTGAGTAATTGCAACATAGACTGGTCTACAAAGCCTACAATATTTGAAATTCTGTCCCTTTATATAATAAGCTGCCAGCCTCTGATATCTATGACGCTGTGTACTTCATTGGGCTTCAAATCAGAAAGCACATAGCATCTAGATCTATTCTGATTTTTCTACTGGACTTTCTCACCCTCTGCCTGGGCAGAAAATTATCTGAGTGGTGTTTTCTTCAAACTATGTGGATGTTCAGTTCTTCATCCATCTTTCACCTAACGGTTTTAATGCCAATTTTTAATTCTCAAGTAAGTCAGTAATTTCATTAGGAGTTTCAAAATGGTGGTTTTCTCCTGTTTGTTTTTTTCACACCTATTAGCTGGTATTCTTTTATAAAGTGGAACTTTCCCTTATCGTCTGGACTACTTAGGTAACTTATGAAATAAGTTCCTGGGGTGCCTGGCTGACTCAGTGGGATAAGTATAAGACTCTTGATCTCTGGGTCATGAGTTCGAGCCCCATGTCGGGAATAGAGATTACTTAAAAAAAAAAAATTTTTTTTTTTTTTAAAGAAGTAAGTTCCTTTTGGAAAACCCAGATAAATACATAATTCTGTGTAATTGCTAATGTTCAGATTCAGGATGTTCATTGTTTTATTTTAGATCTCTGAATAGTTTATGCACACACATAATTTAAAATTCAAAAAATGAAAAAGGTATTTTGTAAAAAATCTCCCTCTTGCCCCAATCCCCTTTCCTAAGTTAGCCTGTTATTAGTTACTTCTGTATCATTCCAGAGGTATTCCATGCTTATGTTAACTAATTCATGCCAACACTCATGAAAACAGTAGAGAGAAATTCAAACAGTTCTTTGTCATTTTGCAAATGGCAGCAGGAAAAGAATTACTCTTGCTCTCTACTGGGTCGCTTAGGTCTTTGGGAATCTTAGAAAGGATGAGCAGAAGTTTTCTGTGCTCAGGAAGGGTGGTGCATAAAGGCTTGGCTCCCTCCTGCTGAGGAAGGGATGGAGGTCTCTGGGTTCCCTTGGCAAGGATGTTTCTTGGCTCTTCTTTCAGGCCATTCAGCAAGGGACCATCCAGTGCAACTTTGCCGGTGTTGCTTTGGGTGACTCGTGGATCTCTCCTGTTCGTAAGTACAGAATTCTCAGATACTTCTTTACTCCTTTCCTCCATCTTTCCCTGGAACTTTGGGCTTTGCTGTCCAGATCAAAAAACAGGGTGACAGAATTTTCTGGGTCCTTAGAGATGTCAACACAGGAAGTGTTTGCCTCAGGAGCATCCAAGAAGTTTGGGGATGAGAACTCATTTATAGAGCTCCTACCATGGACTGCTGCTGACTGGACTGAATGACTGAATTCTCTTATTTGATTCTCACAACAAAAGAATCACATTTTACAGTTGACTTTTTTTTTTTTTTTTTTGAGAAGGTGGCAGGGCAGAGGGGGAGAGAGAGAGAGAATCTTAAGCAGGCTCCATGCCCATCACAAGCTCAACAGAGGGCTTGATCTCACGACCCTGAGATCATGACCTGAGCCAAAATCAAGATTTTAATGCCTAACCGACTGAGCCACCCAGGTGCCCCAACAGTTGAAAACATTCTAAAGACTAGAGAGGTGATGAAATTTGCTCTCTGACACACAGCATGAGTGGCCTGGTCAGGATTCAAATCCAGGTCTGTTGGTCACTTGTCACCACCACTAGAATGAACATTAGGGGTGAAATTCCTATCTGTTGCTCACACTGGTGGTGAGACAAGGTTACTATTAGGTCCTGCAGCTCAGGTTCCTAGTTTCATAACCAGAGTGTCCTCTTTGGAAGTACAGTTAAAAGTTGTTTATGATGTACACATCTAGGGCGTGGCTTCCGATGTCTGAAATAGTCATCTTGGTGGGGTTTACTCTAACACAGGATTTCTAAATCTCAGGGCTATCTACATTTTAGGCCACAGAATTCTGACGTTACTGGAAATGGCATTTCTTGCCCTTATTCTTGGCATCATCCAGGCCTGAAATGGAATAACTGAGAGCTCTTGAGTTAGCATCAGGAGAAGGGCTGCTCTTGGTTTTTCCTTCCTTCCTGGATGGACCTCCTGGGACATCATGAAGTTTTGGAAGCCTTGATCAGAGGTGTGAGGCCCCCTGTCTCACAATCCTAGCCATTGGCCTCACAGTGCCTTCTGGGGTCTCATCACAGTTTCCTAACAGCAGTCAAGACTTTGTATGTATTAACTTCATTGAATGCTTACAAGAGTTCCATGGGATGGATGGTGTTATTACCACAGTTTTGGAGATGATGAAACTGAGACTCAGAGAGGTTAAGCAATTTTCCTAAAGTGACACAGCTAAAGTCAGCATTCACCTCCTGGCAGCAGGCTATGCAGAATCTAAGCATTCACCCATTACACTACACTACCTACACAAGACCAGGAAGTTTAGCCCCATGGCTTTGCAAGTGCTATTCATCCTGTCCAGAGTTTATCCTTTTTCACCTTGCTGGGACCAGCTTCCCCTTTAGAAATCTCCCTGCCCAAGGACACCTAGGTGGCTCATTCGGTTAAGTATCCAACTCTTGATTTTGGCTCAGGTCATGATCTCAGGGTTGTGAGATCGAGTCCTGCATCAGGCTCTGCGCTGGGCATGAAGCCTCTTAAGATTCTTCCTCCCTCTCCCTCTGCCCCTCCCTCCCTATCCCAATCCCCAACCCTTCATGCACACCGCTCTGTCTCTAAATTAACAAAAAAAAAAAAAGAAAGAAAGAGAAAAAAGAAATCTTCCTACCCAGATCTGAATCCCTTCTTTGAGATCCACTTAAGTTCCACCCCTCCCTCCCAGTACTCCTTTTTTGAGAAAGAAATACTGTTAAATTTGTATGAATCATTATTATTTGCTAGGTAGTGGGCATGTGCTAGGTGCTATGAAAGATGCGCAGACCTGCTCCATGTCTTCAAGAAGATCTACACAGCTCAAGATGGTAGCCATAGCCATATGCAATTAAATTTAAATTAATTGAAATACATCTTTCGATTGCACTATCCACATTTCAAGCACCCAGTAGCCACATGTGGCTATTGACTCATTCTGGACCAGAGAAATATAGAATATTTCCATCATGGCAGAAAGTTCTGTTGGACATCAGAGGTTGGAGACTACAACCTACAAATTGAATTTGTTCTGCTATTCTCTTTTGGTACAGAAGCTTTTTATTGGGACATAGTCGCCCCTGTTTGTTTACATACTGTCTCTGCTTGGAGGCTGCCACAATAGAGTTGAGTAGTTGCAACAGAGACTGGCTGGCCTGCAAAGCAAAAAATGTTGACTCTTTCTTTACAGAAATGTTTTGTCCCTCCCTGGTCTAGATCAAGCAAGGAATGGGGCACATTGGAAAATTGCACATGATTCTGTATTTCAAGAAACTAAGGCACAAGCTTGGTAATTAAGCTGGAGAGCTGAATGATAGCTAGGTCCCGGAGGACCTAGTATGCCTGCATTTCTCAGGGTGTACTCTGAAGAATACCAGACCAATGAGGTGCTATACAAATGGCTCCGTGGTCATGTAAGTCGCCAGTGCTAAGTACTGGCTCCACCTCCCCAAGGTTTCACACGGATGTTAAAGGCTCTGCGAAGTCCCATGGGATGGAGTGTGGAATACTTTATTTTGTATAGCCTTAAAGATATTTAACTGAAGAATCATTTTTTCTACTCTGATACCTAGACTGAACTCCTACAGTACTGAGGTTATTTGAAACATATTTTGGGATGCTTGGCCTTAGGGAATAATTGAAGACTTTTAAGCAAAGGAGTGACACATTCAAATGTGCAGGTTGTGGTCCTTGATACTTTCTTGGCACATCTCTGTGGTCCTAGCCTTCTGTTGGGAGGTAGGTGAATTGTGATTCTGTCCAACCAAGCCACCTATTCTCTTTGAGGGCAGGCATTGTTTTACTCATTTAGAGATCTAAAACTCCTTGATGGCTTCAGACCCTTAGTAAATTCTCAATACGTTTGTGAAATAGAAAAGAATTGATTGACAGTATAGTCATAGACACTTGAGTTACAAAATCCTTAGTCTTCTTCCTTAAATAGCTCCTTGGCAGAAGCTAATGTCCCCACACTGGAGGAGCAAATACACAGCAGAAATGCGAGGGCAGGGGAAATATTCTAAGCTGTCGAAGAGCCTAGAGGTCTGGCAGAGAGGAACACACACTGCACACACACACGCACACACACACAGCATTTCTGTGGGGATGCCATCACTGGCTGTGACTCACTTGCTGCACCAGTATCAGGCCAAATTAACGTGTCATTAGTCCTGAGTCAACATGAAGGCTCCCACATCATCCCACCTCCTGACTACTGAGACATTGGCCCTGCAGGGACACCAGTGAGTTAAGGAGCCTTTAGACCCAAAGCCACCTGGTTTCTTGCTTCCTTTTCTGCTTTGGGAGGGAAGCTCGTTGGGTTTTTCTTTGGGAAAAGAGGCACAACAGACTTATTTTGTACCTATGTGGTTTCCTCTAGATTCAGTGCTCTCCTGGGGACCTTACCTGTACAGTGTGGTGAGTAGATGAGTCTCCCACCTGCTCACCCTCCATGGTAAGCAGCCCAGCTGACCTCTTCTGGCTCTGTCCCCAGGAAGAATAGGATAGCTAGGTTTGCCTAGGAGGTTGATGCTGCTCCTTGAGGGAAAATCTAAGGAACTATCAGCACAGTTACCCATTTCTCCAGGTATAAGAAACACAGGTTTTAAAATTTCAACTTTTTATTATAAAAATTTTCACATGTGCAAAAAAGCTGGAAGATGCCTGTGCACACCCAGGTAGCCACCATCTGGATTCTGCAACTGTTTTGCTGTGTTTCTTTCATCAATGAATATGTGACTAACAACCATGGATTTCCATATGTAGTCCTCCTTTCTCCTCCCACTTTTTCTGTCACACGTCCCCAGCTGTAGTGATGCTAGGCTTGTGTCTCTGCGCAAAGTGAGCTTTTTCATTCTCCATTTGCGTTCCAGTCTCTTCTTGACGACCAAGGCTTGGCAGAGGTGTCTCAGGTGGCAGAGCAAGTCCTGGATGCTGTGAATAAGGGGCTCTACAAAGAGGCCACGCAGCTGTGGGAGAAAGCAGAAATGGTCATTGAACAGGTAACAGGACACACTCAGGTGCAGCCCACTTGGCTTGTTCCCTTGGAGCAGGGGCCCCTGGTTTGTGCTGTCAGGACTTAGGTGTATCCTGAAACTCCCTGAAAATCTGAAAATGATCACATGGTGAATGACAAAGCCAACAAATCTGAGCAGTGATGAGGTCAGAAAGCTATCCAGGCCTACAAGACCTGCTTGCCCCTTGACTGGATGTATGCGTGCTAGAAAAAACAATACGTCTTGCAGAAGTGAATGTTTGAATCCTTGCCAAACAACATTGTGCCCCAGTGAGCCAGGAGGGAAGAATGCATAGCTGAGGACGAGTGTGCAGGACCCTCTGTAGCCCTGTTCGCCCTGTAAATTAACACGCGGGGCCCTTGGTTTTCTCCAGCATCTGAGCTCCACTCAGATGAGCTACTCACTACCCCTCCAAGATCAGGTGGACAGCTGGTCTCAGCCCTCAGAGCTGCATTCTTTTTTCTTTCTTTCTCTTCTTTCTTTTCTTTTCTTTTCTTTCCTTCCTTCCTTTCTTTCTTTTTTTTTTTAAGATTTTATTTATTTATTCATGAAGGAGGCAGAGACATAGGCAGAGGGAGATCCTTTCTTTCTTTTTTTTTTTTTTAAGATTTTATTTATTTATTCATGAAGGAGGCAGAGACATAGGCAGAGGGAGAAGGAGGCTCCCTATGGGGAGCCTGATCCTGAGATCATGACCTGAGTCAAAGGCAGACGCTCAACCATTGAGCCACCTGGATGCCCCCAGAGCTGCGTTTCTTTCTGGCCTGGGCAAATCTACAAAGTTAAAGCTGTCCTTGGATAAGACGGAGAGCCAGTTGCCTTTCTGTTTTGCAGCTTTGATAGTGGATAAATAAAACAAACAGCCAAATATAATTCTGTATTTCAGAACACGGATGGGGTGAACTTCTATAACATCTTAACTAAAAGTACTCCCACATCTGCAATGAAGTCGAGCTTAGAATTCACCCAGAGCCACCTAGGTAAGTCAACCTTGATGTGGCTAGACCATCTGTCTCCATCTCTGTGCAAGAGGGAATCCATTCTTTTAACTTTATTGACATAATTTACATACCACAGAATTTACCCATTTTTAGTGTATGATTCAGCAGTTTTAGTGCATTTGCAGAGCTGCACAGTCATTACCACAGTCAAGTTCTACAACATTTCCATTACACCAAAAAGATCCCGTGTCTCCTGGCACTTGGTTTCTGTTCCCACTCCTGGCCCCAGGCAACCACAAATCTGTCGATGTCTCTACAGATGCCTTTCCGGGACGGACAACTCATATAAGCGGAACCATGCAGTTCGGTGGTCTTTTGCATCTGGGCTTCTTTTGCTTGCTTAGTGTTTTTGTAGTTTAGGCTCCAACTTCTGCACATCACATCACAACATCAGTCCTCCTGAAGGCTGGATTGAGTTGTCTTTCAGCTGACCCAGTTTCACTCTGGATGTTGAATGCCTGGCCTCCCATAGGAGGGCTATAAAGGCTGCAGGACCCTCTAGATTCCACTTCTCAGTTGATTTCCTTTGGCCATGCTGGATAATCTCCATGGCCCCAAAGTGCATAAAATGCAGCAATCAAAATTAATAAAGCATCTCCACTTTCGGTGCCTTTCTGGCTTTCTTCTTCCATCTGGGGTGAATTAAGATTATGCTTTTCATTTTCCAGCTGAAAGCCTCACTCTTTGACACACTATCCCAGCAGTTGGGAAAGACATTTTCTTGGTCTTATTTCCAGTCCTTTGACTCACCATGTACCAGTTTGTTTCAGTTCATCTTTACCAACGCCACGTGAGACACCTACAACGGGATGCCTTAAGTCAGCTCATGAATGGACCCATCAGAAAGAAGCTTAAAATTATTCCTGAGGATTGCTTCTGGGGAGGTACTTCTATGACCTAATTAAGTGCCATTTGTGGGGTTATAAGGCAATAGAGGTGCCAATTCAGATGCCTTAATTTGAAGAGTGGGTTTTGTCAGTGGTGGCAATATGCTGCAGGTAGGACAGCATTACTAGCCACATTTTATAGATGAGCAAACAAATACAGACAGTAAATAACATGGCAAAACTGGTTCAGACTAAGAGGCTGGCAGTGGGTGGGGAGGGAAATGAAATGATGGGTTGGGTGTTGATCATTGTTGAAGCCAAATTGTGGGCACCTGGGAATCCTCTCACTGGTCTGACATTTGTATCAGTTTGGAGTTTTCCATAATAAAACAAATTAAGATAAAAAAGCCACTTCCAAAGCCACTGTTGGTTGTGGGCATGACTTCAAGACAAAGGTCCTTTAGGGCAGGCTTTGACCAGCTTCCTGGCCAGCCCCCCTCACTTCCCCAGGTCCTGATGCTAGATGTGGTCTGGGGTCTACTGCATTCTGTTCTGGAGGCCATATTAGGAACTACTGGGGGTCCTCAGAGGCCCAGACCAGGTAGAAATCTGGGTAAGTTCCTGCTCGGTCCTATAGGGAGGCTGTGAGCCAGCAGGACTCCCAGAGTCCTGGAGAGGAGACACTCCAGGCTGAGAAGGGCTTCCTTGAGGTCTGAGTTATCCCAAGGCTATGCCTTTCTAGGGCAGCCCCTTGATAGCTGCTGAGAGCCTAAGACTCCGCTCTGGCCCTGGCTCCGTGGGCCGTCTTCATTTCCACCTCACCCCTCAGAGTTTTCTAGAAATGAGGGGGAAGGAGTTAATTAGATTAAGTGAAAGGATACAGTGTCAGAGCTTTAGGGTGGGTACCACCATGGGGAGCTGTCGTGGCAGAGTATAGGGGTGTAAGCCACTGGGGGAAGGCAGCTAAAGGTCGAGCCTTCTAGAGCACCATTTCTGCACTGCCCCTTCAGTTGATCCCTGTGACTTTGTTTTCCAGAGCCAGCCTCTCTGGCTATGGGGCCCCTCCATCCCCGCCCCATGCAGCTGAACGCGCAAGGGGACTCCATTTTTGCAGACAATGACTGATGGAGAAACTCTCTGTGGCCCCAGTTGTGTCCGTGCAGAAAGGACAGACTTGTCGGCCCGCCAGTGTCCTGCGCTGTGGGTGCCAGACTTGCCATCCACACCCAGTGTCCTGCGCTCTGCTTTGTAGTTAAGCCTACGTGCTCTGGAGCGGCCTGGGTGGCTCAGCGGTTTAGCGCTGCCTTCAGCCCAGGGCGTGACCCTGGAGACCCAAGATCAAGTCCCGCGTCGGGCTCCCTGCGTGGAGCCTGCTGCTCCCTCTGCCTGTGTCTCTGCCTCTCTCTCTCTCTCTGTGTGTGTGTCTCTCATGAATAGATAAATAAAATCTTTTTTAAAAATTATTTTTAAAAAAAGCCTACATGCTCTGGAGCCCCCCCAACCCTGTGCTCACAGCCCCACCTGCCACTGACTAGCTCTTTCACCCTAGACATGGTTCTCAGCCTCTCTGAGCCTCGTCTGCTTTAACTGCTGCACGAGTTAAGGCTCCTTACCTCCCAGGGTTGATGAAGAGGAAATGAGGTGTTGCTTGTAAGGTGCTTGCTTCACGCAGTGACTGGCAAACAGAAATGAACACTAGCTGCTCTTAGCGTCCCATACAGCGTTGTGGCGAGGACGGTCCGGAATCCAGCAGGAATGCACTATACTGACCAGCTTCTCTCTTGCGGGGGATCCTCCTCCTCGTGGCTTTCCTGAGGGCCAGCTCAGCGTTGCTTTAGGTCTGATTTGGTTTATTACACGGCCCATGTGCCCACTCATTCAGAGCTTACAACTTGGCCCTGGTGTTACTTAACAAAGAAGGAAAGCTCACACCTGCCCCATTGTTCCCTGAGAGGACCGGCCAAACAAGTGTTTTGTGACACTCCCTGTTTTTTGCTTGGGCATTACTGTTCTGTAGGTTTCAATTCCTCTTTAAAAATGACAACTAGGGGGACACCTGGGTGGCTCAGCGGTTGAGTATCTGCCTTTGGCCCAGGGCGTGATCCCGGGGTCCCGGGATCGAGTCCTGTATCGGGCTCCCTGCATGGAGCCTGCTTCTCCCTCTGCCTGTGTCTCTGCCTCTCTCTGTGGCTCTCCTAAATAAAGAAATAAAATCTTAAAAAAAAAATGGCAACTAGGGGCACCTTGGGGGGCTCAGTCAGTAAAGCATCCAACTCTTGATTTCAGCTCAGGTCATGATCTCGGGGTTGTGGGATTGAGCCCCACAAGGGCTCCCTGGTCAGCAGGGAGTCTGCTTGTCCTGCCCTGTGCCCCTCCCCTTGCTCGTGCTTTCTCTCATATGTAAATAAATAAATAAATAAATAAAATCTTAAAAAAAATAAAAATGAGTCTGCTGTCATCACAAGCACTTGAGTGAATAGAGCACATGTGTTTGATAGGCTTCCCATTTATTTATTTATTTAAGATTTTATTTATTTATTCATGAGAGACAGAGGCAGAGACACAGGCAGAAGGAGAAGCAGGCTCCATGCAGGGAGCCCGATGCGGGACTTGATGCTGGAACCCCGGGATCACGACCTGAGCCGAAGGCTCAACCACTGAGCCACCTAGGCATCCCAATATGCTTCCCTTTTAGGTGACTAGCTCAAGGCATGGATTTCTGGGCTGGCTGGTCCCCATGGCTGAAGCGCTTGTGCTCTCAGCCTTTTTAGGTGAAGTACAGTGGGCACCAGGGCCCAGGAGGCTCTGGTCTGAAAGGTGCCTCTTGTGGCAGATTGCAGGCTGTTACCTCTTTCTCTATCCTCATGTGCAGGCCAGTCTGCCAATGTCTTTGAGAACATGGAAGGGGACTTCATGAAGCCGGCCATCAGCATTGTGGATGAGCTGCTGGAAGCTGGGGTCAATGTGACCGTGTATAACGGACAGCTCGATCTCATCGTGGACACCATAGGTAGGAACACACTCTGAGGGGCATGTGGAGGCAGTTCTGTGGGTTGAGCTGGAAGGGAACTGACCTCCGATGTGGCAGTCACTTGGGCCTAGTGGCACTGAAATGCCAGGAGGAAGGCCCTTTCCTGTTAGGTCCATCCTCCCTGACCTTGACCTCTTTGAAGAGGACAGAGCTGTTGATGTAGTTTTGGAACATAGGTGAGGTTTGGTGGAGTGAGGTCTGGAGCTGATGGCCAAGAAAGAATTCTGGAGATATCTTTGGTGGAAAGTTGTGGTTTTATTAGAGCATGGGGATAGGACCCATGGGCAAAAAGTGCTGCTGCCCCAGGGTTGTGAGGGGTAACGGATTATATACTTGGGAGTTGGGGGAGGTAAGGAAAAAGAGAGGTTTTCAAAAGAACTCTTTCATGCTAAAGAGGACCTACAAGATATTGGAGGCCTCGTTGTTGTCAAGTTAAGGGTGTTTCTCCCTCTAGTAAGGCATTAATATTAAGATAGTTGAGAGTTTCCTTCTGGAAGTGAGGTTATTGATAAGAATGGTTTTTGCTTGTAAATCATGAAGATATTTGTAACCTTAGGGCGACCCATGTCTTGCTAGACTGTGATCTCTATTAGTTAACCATTTGTTTTTCCTTCCCTTAGCTTTAGGACAGCCAGGAGTGCCTGATGAATGTCACACATGTCCCATTTGGAGGAGAGGGGCAGTTTGCAGGGTGTCAGCTGGTGCTTTGCCCTTAGCTAGCCTTTTGCTCCCTCATCACTGTGACCCCTTAGAGAAGCCTGGGCCTGCCAGATTTGAGGCCCCTATGTATGATTAAGAAAAACACAACAGTTACTCCTGCAGAAATAGAAAAGGAGACATTTTCCTGGCCATGGGATAAATGCACTGTTGAACTGAGTTTTTGTCACTGTCACAGTGGTAAGCACTGCAAGCTGAATTAAAGCTAAACCCTACTGACTCTGTAAATATGAGGATCCAGGGGAATAGCCTTTGTGGTTCTGGTTTCAGTAGGACCAGGTTAAGACTTAGAGGCAGGTTCTCAGAACCAGCAGGTAAATCGAGGCACACTATCTGACAGGTATGATATATTTCTTGAGGTCAGCAGGATTGACTATTTCCACCAATTGTAAGCCAAGGGCACTGAGGACACTTTGAAAGTGTTCTGGGTTTCTTCCATGACCTGCCCAGGACTTCTTAGTCCTCAGAGAGTCCTGCCACCTCCAGAGGTCCCCAATTTCCTTCCTTCAGAGCTTACAGTGGTAGGAGACGTGGAGGCACAAGTAGTCAGGCTCTCAGCTTTTAGATTTCTCCCAGGTATCTTGGGTATCACTGGGAGTTTGCTAGAAATGCAGAGTCTTGGGTCCTACCCAGACCCACCAACTCAGAATTTGCATTTTTAACAAGATCTTGGGATGAGTTCTGTGCCCATTACAGTTTGGTAAAAGTGAAGTTATGGGATGTAGATTTTTGTTTCTCCCCAGCCAGCTATTAATGCAGGGCCCTGCTTTGTTCCTCTCTCCAGGTCAGGAGGCCTGGATACGGAGACTGAAGTGGCCAGAACTGCCCAAATTCAATCAGCTCAAGTGGAAGGCCCTGTACAGTGACCCTAAATCTTCGGAAACGTCTGCTTTCGTCAAGTCCTACAAGAACCTGGCTTTCTACTGGATCCTCAGAGCTGGGCACATGGTGAGGCCATATCCTCAGCCTTTGTCATGGGCCCTTAGCTGATCTGAGATTGAAGCCACGGGCAGTTGATTACGCACGGGTACACTGCCTGGACTGGTCTTAGAAAAAGTGCTTTGAGTGTGGAAGTATTTCCAGGTCTCTAATGGAATCCTGCTGTTAATGCTTCATTCCTTTGAATCGAGAAATTCTCATTTAAAAAGCTAAATCCTTTTGAGAGCATTAATCTGGGCTCTCTTTTACTCTTTATTTTTTTTTAAATATTGTATTTAATTGAGACAGATTGAAAGGGAGAGAGAGAGCATAAGTGGGGTGGAGGGGCAGAGGGAGAGGGAGAAGCAGACTCCCCACTGAGCAGGGAGTCTGACATGGGACTGAATCCCAGGGCCCTAGGATCATGACCTGAGCTGAAGCCACATGTTCAACTGACTGAGCCACCCAGGTGCCCCTACTTTTTAGTTTAACTGAGTTTAACATTACTTTCCTCTTAATAATTTGTTTTAGGGAAAGAAGGGAGAAATTGTCTTCCCCTAACATTTTCAGGGAGTGGAAACCAAAGTGCAGCGCTCTGGCATTGCATGATAGAAGGTCGCAGTGCATGGTAGAAGGTGGGGGGAGTGTCTCTGAGCAGCAGTAGCTTTCAGAATTCCAGTTTAGAAGCAGCTTTTTGCACAAATATGAGGCTGTCTGATTCCTGCACTTGCTAAGCAAACATAATATCTTCCCCAGGCTGTAGGTTGACTGGGTGCTGTCCATGGGCTGAGGGAGATTATGGAGGGATAAATTCACTGTAAACACATGTATTTGCATAGTGTACACACACAGACATCTGCAAAGGTGCCAGAGGGGCCAGGTGCTTCCCTCATGGTTATGCTCTGGTCTGGCCACTTAAATACAGGTCTCTCTTCTTCCCAGGACAGTGGTTTCCTGGAGGAGATTTGTTGGGAGGAGCAGTTATGTGCCCTCTGGGCAGCTCTCCCCACTTGTCCCCCTGGTGCTTAGGATAGAATCTCCATGGAGAATCTCCACTGCTGAGAGGCAGTGGTCTAGCTAGAGAACTGGCCTTTAAACTCCGTTTGTGCATCAGGCACATAGTTTGCACATCAAACACACATAGTGTGTTTACTTGGATGGCAGAGGAGGTGCTAACAGAGATGTCGGCAGGGGCCAAAGTGCCCTCTCCACAAACCAACTCCTTGGGGGTATGAGCTAGGCAAGAAGGAGGTATAGAAGCCAGAACAGCACGGGCAGGTCCAGAGTTGCCTCAGGCAGGGCACTGGGGAGAGATGAGGCTGGGGATACCTTGCCAGGGAGCTCACACATATCCTGAAAGCAATGGCGTGGCATTGAGGATCTTAAAGCAAAGGAGTGAAATTGCCAGATTTGTTTAAGAAATGGCATTCTAGCAGCAAAGGGCCTGAGATAAGATGGGTACAAAGAGCTGATCTAAGGCACTTTTATAGTAATCCAGGAGGCAGAGAGAAGTAGAGGAAATTTCATAAAGTATCAGAAGGGGGAACTGGCAGGACTTGGTAACTGTTTGCCTGTAGAACTGCCAAGTGGGATGGCTCATAAGGCAGCTGAATATATACACTGTGCGTGTATGATCGGGAGTCAAATTTTTGTTCTTGGAGAGAGAGATTTGGAAGTCAAATATGAAAAAGGCTAGGGATGGGGCCCTGGGTACGCCAGTATTTAAGAGGCAGAAAGTGGAAGAAGGATCTACAAATGAGGCTTGAGAAAGGACAGCCAGAAAAATAGGAGGGAGACCAGGGGCTTGGGCATCTGCAAAGTCTCAAGGGGCCCGATAGTGACACAAGCTGCCACCCTTTCAGATAAAGGAGCAAAGTGTAAGCAGTGAGTCGGGCGCACTGGTATCCGTGTTGCTCGTGGCAAGCGCTTTCAGTGCAGTGGCAGGCCTGGAAGCCAGCCTGGAAAGGGTGGAGCAGATGAATGAGCAGTGAGGGAGGGAAGACAACTTCTTGGAAACCTGGAAGGAAGTAGTGGCCTGCCCCTTTAAGAAACTTGATCTGAAAAGACAGTAGAGGGAAGCCAGACCCAGCAGGACCCAGGGTTAGGAAGGTATTTTGTTGGGCTTTAGATAGTCTGAGTACCCTCAGTATCAGCTAGGGAAGAAGCTAGTAGGAGGTCTTAGGGCACAGTACTGTGACCAGAAAAGGGTCCCTGCAGGGGCAGGTGGGAGGGGAAGAGGAAAGGGTAGAAGAAGGAGATTGCATGGTCTCTCGCTGGCGTGCTGGAGTTCAGGCCATTTCCTCTGGCTTGTCACCAATAGAACCAAGACATCAGTTGGCACAGCCTTAAAATAGCTCCTGGAAACTGTTATTAAATTATCCCCAACCACTTCCCCTTTAGTGGATGAAATGTCGTTCTGGTATACCCCACTGTGCCTGTGTCTCAGGGTTGGGGTTGGACAGGAGGGTTGGGGACAGTAGTGTGCCATAGAGAAGCAAGGAGCTATGGACTCTCAGAACTTGGACCATCAACTCGACATCCATCTTTTTTTTTTTTTTTAAGATTTTATTTATTTATTCATGAGAATACACAGAGAGGAGAGAGAGAGAGGCAGAGACACAGGCAGAGGGAGAAGCAGGCTCCATGCAGGGAGCCCGACATGGGACTCGATCCTGGGTCTCCAGGATCCGGCCCTGGGCTGAAGGTGGCGCTAAACCACTGAGCCACCTGGGCTGACCTCGACATCCATCTTTGAGGAGGAGAAACTGAGGCCTCTGTCCCTCCCCTTTTTGATGGTGTATGGGAAGGAGGTTTATAAAGGAATTATTTGAAAAATCTAAGGGATAGGGTACCTAGCCGGCTCAGTCAGTAGAGCTTGTGACTCTTGATCTCAGGATCATGAGTTTGAGCCCCACATTGGGTGTGGAACCTACTTGAAAAATCTAAGGGAGGGGCACCTGGAGGGCTCAGTGATTGACTGACTGCCTTTGGCTCAGGTCGTGATCCTGGGGTCCTGGGATCAAGTCCTACATCAGGCTTCCTGCGGGGAGCCTGCTTCTCCCTCTGCCTATGTCTCCCTCTCTGTCTCTCTCTCTCAGTGTCTCTCATGAATAAATAAATAAAATCTTAAGAAAAAAAAGAAAAAGAAAAATCTAAGAAAAAAACAAAAGAAAATTGAATAATAACAATAATAAAAAATGAGATGTTCCCCCCCCCAAAAAAAATGGGATGCCACTCAAACAAAGCATCTGTTTGTTATATCTGTTGATAGATTTACTATTGGCTTCCCTCTTGGCTATTTTGTACTCCATTCCCAGTCTGGGATCCCTTGTACTCAGAGAATCCTTTAAAATGTTTAGAATCTTAAAAAAAAAAAAAAAAATGTTTAGAATCATCCCTCTTCCTTGAACAGGCTAGGTCCTGGTAACATAAGCACTGTTTTTTTTTTTTTTTTTAAGATTTTATTTATTTATTCATGAGAGACAGAGAGAGGGTCTTATAAAGAAATCAAGGGTCTCGTAAAGAAATCAACGGGTGCCTGGGGGGCTTAGTAGGTTAAGCATCCAATTCTTGATTTTGGCTCTCGGTCATGAGATTGAGTTGGACTCTGCCCAGCAGGCTATCCACTTGTTGATTCTCCTATCTCCCTCTGCCTCTCCCTCCCTCCCTCTCAAAAAAAAAAAAAAAAAAAAAAAAGAAATCTTTAGAAAAAAAGAAAAAGCAAGCAAGCAGATCAGCTCCAATTGGAGTGGCACATTCTTTCCTAAATGCTAACTTCTTTAGACCCCTGCAACCTGATGAGCTTTTGTCCCATGCAGGGGTCATTGCACAGATGGGACCCTCCTTCAGGGGCATCATTGGCAGCTGGCACTCCTCCCAGGAGCAGGGTCTTGGTATGTCATCCCTGAACCCCTTTGAACTCAGAACCAGGAGTGCAAACTCAGATACTGTTTGGTTCTAGGTTCCTTCTGACCAAGGGGACATGGCTCTGAAGATGATGAGGATGGTGACTCAGCAAGAGTAGGATTGTCTGGAGGTGAAGTGCTTGGCCTTGAGGCTCAGGAGGCCGGAGTAAGGACTCTGAAGCTGTAGGAGGCACCATTCTCCCCACCGGCTTGTGGCTTGCACCTGGCTTGCAAGGCTTGCCTGGCCCATGATGGTTCCCACCCACTTCTCCAGAAAACACTCGCTGCCTCTGTGCACCTGGAAATCATTTCTGCTTCTAAGAAACCTCAATCTTTTTTTAATGGATTTGTTTTCATCAAAATGAAGGGTTGAAATAGTTAACATTTTTGTATTACAAGAGTAAATTATGTAATTTATAGGACAAAATAGAGATACAGGTAAAATAAACACCCTCTTACTCCTTTCCCTGGGATAAGCTCTTATCAATTTAGCATCTACCCTTGCAAGTCTTTTTCTGCTCTATATGCATATATATTTTTTACAAAAATGAAATCATTACTGTATGTTGTTTTACTACCTGGTTCACATATCAATTTGCCCCAAACACCTCTTCATGTCAATAAACGTTCTTCTATAACGTTGTTAATAGGTGCTGAGCATTCCATTTTGTGGATGTACTGTCAGTACCAAATGCACAACTGTTTCATGGAAGCAACATCTATTTTGTCACTGCTATAAACAGTGCTCTGGTGATTCATCCTGACAATTATATTTTTATACACATCCTTATTATTTTCTTACAGTAAATTCCTAAAGGCTTAATTGTTTAGTCAAAGAATTGTAACTTCTTTAAAATTAAAATGATGTCTTTAATTTTAAAATCAGGACTTTTAAGTTTTAATTTGCAGCTCGCAGTCTGAAGAAGGGATATAATGGCCTCTATGATGGCCCTGAAAGAAACACTATGTCATGTGGTTGTGGCACTGAGACACTGAAAACCAAACCCAGGGCAGCCCGGGTGGCTCAGTGATTTGGTGCCGCCTTCGGCCCAGGGCATGATCCTGGAGACCTGGGATGGAGTCCCATGTCGGGCACTTTGCATGGAGCCTGCTTCTCCCTCTGCCTGTGTTGCTGCCTCTCACTCTCTCTTTCTCTTTCTTTCTCTCTCTGTCTCTCATGAATAAAGAAATAAAATCTTTAAAAAAAGAAAAAGAAAACCAGGGGGATCCCTGGGTGGCTCAGCGGTTTGGTGCCTGCCTTCGGCCCTCGGCGTAATTCTGGAGTCCCGAGATCAAGTCCCACGTCGGGCTCCCTGCATGGAGCCTGCTTCTCCCTCTGCCTGTGTCTCTGTCTCTCTCTCTCTGTGCCTCTCATGAATTAAAAAAAAAAAAAAATCTTAAAAAGAAAAAGAAAAGCAAACCCAGAGTCTTCCTGTAGAACCTGAAGAGAGTGTTAATAGAGGGTTATGCATCTGAAACTAATGATGTAACCCATATGTTGGTTAATTGAATTTATTTATTTATTTATTTATTTATTTATTCATTCATTCATTCATTCATTCATTTATTAGAGCACAGAGGAAGTGGGAGAAGCAGATTCCCCACTTAGTGGAGAGCCTGATGTGGGACCTGATTGTGGGACCCTGGGATCATGACCTGAACCAAAGGCAGATGCTTAACCAACCGACTGAGCCACTCAGGTGCCCCTAATTGAATTTAAATTAAAAACAAACAAACAAAAAGATTATATCTATATAGCCTGCCCCCTTGGAGCTGAGACTAAAGCAGGCCTCCTTGGGCAGGGGCAGCCCGGACTTACCCGTGGTTCCCTACTGGAGAGAAAGCACTCCTGTGTGCCCTTGGACAAGAACGAACATGACAGGCTTATTATGCTGGATCCTCCTGGACTCCACCAGTGCATATTATTCTGCTGCTTCTGCTGGGTATCCTTTACTGAAAGATTTACCTATGAATGTAACTACTTACTGAGTCCTGTGAGTCCTTCTAGCATTGAATTACAACACAGTTGAATTCCCAGCCTCCCAGGGTCTCTTTCGTTAGAAGTTAGGGTATTAGGGGGCACCTGGCTGGCTCAGTTGGTATAGTATGTGACTCTTGATCTCAGGGTCCTGAGTTTAAGCCCCAAGTTAGGTGTGGAGCCTACTTAAAAAAAAAAAAAAGAAAAAAGAAAAAGAAGTTAGGGTAATAGTTGGGAAGGAATCTGAGTTTTAACGTTAGGATAGTCACATGGGTAGATTGGAGTGAAGCTAGGGACCTCAAATCTTTTTTGCCACTAGAATCAACTCTTCCATCCCTGCCTAAGGAAGTTAATCTTCTCTTCCCCTAAGATCCTATAACCAATTACAAGATGCCCAAAGCCCTCTTCCGGCCACATTACATTCTTTCTCAACCCACACTCATGCCTTCATGGGAAATTCCCTATGATCAGTTCCCTTGGGGAGGAAGTCTGGGGTTTAGTTACAGATGGTTCTACATGGTGGGCATGCATCACCTGAGAGTGAACAGCTATAGCACTAAAGCCCTTTTCTGAGACAGCCCTGGAAGATGAGCAAGGGAAATCCCCCCAGTGGACAGAATTTGGACATGTACCTGTTTGTTCATTCCTGGAAAGAGATGGTCAGAAGAAAGGGTCTGTCCAACTCATTCTTTTGGCTGAGTAGTTGGACTTAGAAGGAACACAACGGAAAAATCAAAAGACCTGAGGAAGAGGTATGAGGATAGACCTTTATGGCAAAATATGAAGCTAATTTGTGTTCCATGTGAATCCTCGCCAAAGGGTAGAGGAAGATTTTAATAATCAGATGGGTAGGATGACCCATTCCGTAGACATCAGACAGCCTCCTCCCCCAGCAATTCCTGTGAACTCAAAGCCAACCAAAGTGGCCACAGTGACAGTAATGGAGGTCATGCATTAGCTCTTGGACATGGACTTGTGCTCACCAAGACTGGCCTGGCTACAGCTGCTGAGAGCCTAATCTGCAGCAGAAGAGACAACACTGAGCCCCTGATATGGCACCGTTGCCCAGAAGGATCAGCCAGCTACCTGGTGTTAGGTTGATTACATTGGATCACTTTCACTATGAAAGAGGCAGCAAGTTGTTCTTATTGGAGTTGACACTTGCCCCGGACATAGACTTGCCTTCACTGCCCACAGTTCTTCTGCCAAAACTGCCATCTGTGGCCTTACAGAATGTGTCATCCACCATCATGGTATTCATAGCAGACTAAGTGCAGAAGTGGGTTCGTGCTCTTGGCATTCACTGGTCTTACCATGTTTCCCCGTCATCTTGAGGCAACTGCCCTGATGCATGGTTGAATGACTTTTTGAAGATTTAGTTACAGTACCAGCTAGGTGGTGATACCTTGCAGGGCTGAGGCAGTGTCCTTCAGTATGTGGTATATGCTCTAAATCAGCATCATGCTTCTCCCACACCCTGGATCCAGGAGTCCAGCAATCAAGGCATTAAAAATGAATGTCACTCCTCTCACTATCAGCCCTATTGACCCATTAGTCAAAATTTTGCTTCCCCTTCCTACAACTTTAGCCTCTGCTGGTCTAGAAGTCTTAGTTATAAAGGGAGAAATGCTTTCACCGGGAGATACAGCAAAGATTGCCTTGAAATGGAGCTTGAAGCTGCCATCTGGTGTCTTTGGGCACTGAATAAACAGGCAAAGGACTGGTGGGTTGATTGATCCTAGCTATCAAAGGAAATTGGGTTGTTACTACACAGTAGGATAAGGAGGGAGAATGCAGGAGATCCTTTGTGATACCTTATAGTACCCTCATGGCCTCTGATTAAAGTCAAAGGAAAACAGTAATAACTCAGTCTATACTGGTAATGGCCCACACCCTCCACAAAGCTTTGGGTCATTACACCAAGAGAAGGACTACAACCAACTGAGGTATGTGCTGAGGACAAAAGAAATACGAAATAAGTAATGAATAATTGTAGTTATAAATACTAGCTGTGACCTCATTACCTGGTATAGAATAAAGACTGTCATAGTTACAATTATTTCTTCCTTATTTGAGTGTGAATATATTTTAATAAATATTAGCCAAATTTTTAAAATCTCTTCTCCCAACCCTTTATTTTCTAATTTAAGATATGCTCATAGTAAATAGCTTTATATGTATTTAAATTATAAGATGTCAAAAAGAGAGTATGAACCAGCTCAGAAGAGAAAGCACATTATTCAAAGACATAAGGGACCCTGAGACTGTTCTGAGGAGAAGGTCAGTGTGGTTTTGGGTGCACAGGGAATATTGTGTCATGTGATGCAGAGGCGTGATTTTGTTGTTATCTCTATTTGGAGAATAAGTGTGGTTTAAGGCAGTGTGTACAGATGCCAAGACAAAAAGGGATGGACTGTGGGATCTTTGTAGTGTTTCCACTTGCCTATGCCAAATTATATTTTCTAGAATTACCTTTCCTGCATGTTTCTGATTAGAATGGCCCAACTACTAGAGATGCTCATGGAGATTTGGAGGATGGACATGAGACAGTGGCCAATTCAGCCCAATCATGCTATCATTTATCTGTCGGCTCAGCTCATTAGCAGCCGCGCTTGCAATGGCTCCACCTTCCCCTGGATCCTCCTGGAGCTTCTCTGCCTCTTGGGCCAGTTGAGCGTGCTTAGCTCTGTGATAAGGACCCAGCTGGCATGAGTTTCTGTCCCATGGACTGTCCTCCTGGACACCAACTCATGGGATTCAGATTGTTCTTGTTCTTTCTCTACTGTATGTCTCCTGTCCCTTCCGACTGCTGGCCCTGTGTCCTTCAGTCTCCAGCAACACATTTCAAAGGCACCAGCTTTAAGAAGGCTGCCCACTCAGCTCCCACACTGCAGGAGTCAAATCCCCCCACCACACACAAATGCACAAACATGGATGTGCATGCACACAGTTCTGCTTCCTGATTGAATCCTGACTGATACCATAAATTAGATTCAATTATTCTTTAATGGATTCAAAGGTCCCCACAACTGGAATCTGCATGTGTGATAATGCCTTTCTGTTCTGTACATGTGAGCACCAACTTAATCAGATGCAGAGCCCTGGGTCACATCTCTCCTTCATTGTTAGCTTCAACTGCTGCTGAGAAATTTGAAAACAACTTGACTTTGTTTATTTGTTTTTTCTTTACTTTTATAAACAGTTAATTTTGATACCTGGATGCTATACACCTCTTCGTTTAATCTTTTAGTTGGTAACTACAGATGGTACATTGATGGTTATAGTTTTTTTAAAGATTTTATTTATACACGAGAGACACACAGAGAGAGGCAGAGACATAGGCAGAGGGAGAAGCAGGCCCCCTTCAAGGAGCCCAAATGTAGGACTCAATCCCAGGACCCTGGGATCACGCCCTGAGCCAAAGGCAGATGCCCAACCACTGAGCCACCCAGGCGTCTCTGGTGTTTATAGTTTTTAAGTAATTTTGCCTGAGATTTAGTAAGTTTTAGAGTTTTTTTTTTTTTTTTCAGAGAGAGAGAGAGAATGAGGAGGGGTGAGGGGCAGAGGGAGAGGGAGTGAGAGAATCTCAAGCAATCTTCATGCTGAGTTTGGAGCCTGACAGGGGGCACGATCTCACAACCCTGAGATCATGACCTGAGCCAAAATCAA